GTTGGCGGTCATCCAGACCCTGAGGTAAGGAGGGGGCGGTCTCAAGAAAAAAAAAAAAAAATTTCGGCTTTTCGGGACTCAGTTTGGTCTAACAGTAAGGGAGGGGGGCGCCTCCCGAGCCCCTTCCCTGGATCCACCACAGGGATGTTATACACAAGTAACATCAAATCGGATCAATTTAGGTTTCTGGGAAACTGCCGACCTACCCCTCCCCTAAGCCAACATTTTGCTCTAAGTGAGCAGTAATCGTTAATGTTGGCTTAAGGGAGGAGTTTACGGCGGACATCTCTCCACAACTACCACCCCGCTTTTACCTCTCTTTTAGCCATTCTCTGACCTATATTTATCCTGAAGGAAAACAAAGTCAGGGTTCGAGCGGCGTTGTGATTGTTCAATTGCAAAGAGTATTAAAGCACCTTTAACTTACTTTTCAAGGAATGTTAATCCAAAACTATCAGTCCCCGGTTTTCATATTTAAGCTCAATTTATCTGACGAAAAACTACTTTGATATAATACTAGAAAAAAATGCAAGGAATTTTCGAACACTCAAGCAGAAATTACTTTTCAAACGCCCTGGAAAATCAACAATTTGATTCCAACGCTTTTCATAGACTTCAAGGGGTAGCACAGACCCTCTATGAAAATAAGCAGTGTGAGGAGAAATTGAATGTACGTCACTCTACTACGACCAGAAATCTGGGGGTATAAACCAGTATTTCATACAAGAAAAGGACTGACTGATTTTTTATTTTTACGTTAAAGTGACAATAAGCAAAAGTTTGCTTATTGAAAGTACACATTACATGTACTACGAGAACCTCCGCGAAAAAAATTTGCGATTTGAACACAACGTGATTTTTTTGGGGGAATTTTTTTGGAACGTTCATATTTGCTCCACTTTGGCACTCAAAACCTCTCGGAAACAAAGAAGCTGTGTTAAAGTGTGGAGTTCTAGAAATGTTTCTTCCAATTCACAAACTGAAATTGCTGTTAAACGTAAAACAAGCCAATTAGATGCGTCGCAGTGAGAAGCAACAACACTGGCGACCCCAGAGAAGGGATAAACATGCTTAAAATCCTGGGCTTCAGTTCCTGAGTTTGTGTCTCATGTTTTCACAAATGAGCCTGCCAGTTTTTAGTCTGCTACACAGCCGTTTTTAGAGTCGTCACGCAACGCTCCTCCCCAGTGGGCAGGAGCGTTGCGTGACGACACTAAAAACGGCTGTGTACCAGACTAGCCAGTTTCGTAATCAGCGGAAACGGGTAGGCCAAAAAATTTAGACTTAAAATTTTATTTTAAAAAATCTCATTTTGTTTAAAACGCATTTTTTCGAAGAATCTCTTGTACAAATGTGTCCTTTCAGTTAACATGATAAACAGTTTTAGGTTATTGGCACTTTAACAACGAGGAATGGTACTTCAATAACGATATGGGAGGTCATATAAGCGGAGTGGTCAAAGGATGATTTCCGTGTGTAGCCAGAAGGGTGTCTAGCTGTCCTATGGACACCCTTTTTGGAATAAATACAAGGAAAATTCATTTAATCTCTTATAATTTTATGGGAAAACATGCCTTCTGGAGGGCCACTTTTCAATGTGTTGCTAAAAGCCTGATTACACCTGATCAACTCACTGACCCGTTTGGTGTGATGAGCCGTCCAAAGGCTTGACACAGCTATCCTGATACCACACCAACAGTTCACTGCCTGCCTCCACGGGTACAAGGGTCTTGAAGTAGATCTCACCACGGTACTGCACTTGCAGGAGGTTCTGTTCTTTGTCGTCACGTGCACAATTCACAAACCGCATCCAGTTACTGTGATCTTCATCTGTACCATCAATAACGTAGCTGACTGTTCCACCTTCAAA